TGTAGCTTGCAAAAGTTCATGTTTTTTGTTTTTTGTTTGTTGCGGTTGCACCCGATTCAAGAGCCGAATGGCTCACAGGGCTATACCAAAAAAATGTAACTGAAAACAGACTTTGTTGGGGGCAATTGCTGTAAGCGAGTAGCATCTACGAAGGCCAGTTCGACACACGAGAGGATGGGTGGCCAGCACCACGCCCGACCGCCTTTGTCTCCCCAGTGGCAATGCTTACACACCCCACCAGGTACTCATTTTAGGCTGAGTCGACCTAGGGGGAGACCCATGACTGCTTCAGATAATCGTCACACTGGTGTTGGTGGCCATGAGCGGGAATCGAACTCGGGTCGCAGGCTTCGTAACGCAGGGCGCTAAACACTACTACACACACAAATTACCACGTGTACATTTACATTACACATCATCACGTACACACGTGTTCCGCGCGCGCGCACACACACACACATAGAGACACATCGTCATGTGTGCGCTCGGTGAACATGCAACCGACGTTGTTGGCACCGTGACCGGAATCGGTGGAGCACCAACGTGTCCCCGTGTTTAGTGCGGGGCGCGTGCATCATGGGAGATCTAGAGCCAGTGTTGCATTTCCGAGTTCACGCGCGCGCGTGCGCGAGGCGCCCCTACACCTGTCAACCCCTTGTCAGTGCTCTTTGGTTCTTTCGGTAAAGTCACGTATAAAGATAAAATAATAAATTAAATACTAGCATACGACGTTTCGATTGCAACGCAAGCAATCATCAGCAGGTATAAATTAAATAGAAACACAAATCTAGTATACTTTAGAAATGCAAGTCAGTGATCTACCTTATTACAGACCAATGCAGACCGTGTTGGTCACCCAGTGCCCCCTTTATACATCTCAACGTTCATCCTACAAAGTGCCATCACAAGGGAGCAACACAAGTTAAAAAAATAGACATTTTAGTTTGCCCGTATTGAAAGGGCTGTACGCCGTATGGACCTGCAAACTCAATTTGCCTGCACATGAAGAGCACGTGGTAACCCCGATGGGTTGACAGGTGGCCGCTCCGGGTTTCCGAACGACGCCGCGCGCGTCACAAAGAACCATCGAGGCCAATGGCGGAGCCGGGATTTTCAGGGAGGGGGGGGGGCAACCCCTCCAGCAAATATTTTTTTCGGTGTTGTTAGTAAGGAGTTGTTAGTAAGTAAGGACTAGTCCCTTGCCTTTTATTCGAAGCGTGTGCGGCGATGGCGCAGCCATCGACCGAGGGTCGAATTCGAACCGCGTTGTGTGATCGGCATCGCGCTCGCTGAAGGTGTTGATGCCTTCAGGGAAGTCGTGTACTGTAGACGCAACTGCGTACAATTCTGAGTCACTTATAACTGCTTTGCCGTTACTTATTGCCAATTACGGACTCAGACTATTGTCCTATCATCTCATAGAGTCCCTGGCTCGTAATAATATGCTACACAGTGGCAGCGGGGGTCGTAAAATGCCGATTTATTACTAATAAACCCCAATGATCCGATGGAAATCCCTAGGGATTTCGATCGGATCATTGGGGGGGGGGGGGCACGCCCCCCCCCCCTCCACTCGCAACTGAAAAGGGCCACGAGCCAGGGCTGAGTTTCTCGCCCAATCTCTCGGGGTGGTGGCACGTGACCAGCCACAGCCCCCGCCGCAGCCAGAGCAAGAGAGTTATACTGGATGTGGTGTGCCGGGGGTGCTGAATTATGTTCCGAATCGCCGAACACCCCGCCCCCCCCCCCCCTCGGATAGATTGGACTGAAAGTACGTCCTGGCTGCGACTAACATATATAGATTAATATAATGCATTAATTCAAACAATAGCGTGTAATCTGCGTGTCGTTAGCTTAAACACAAAAACTATTGAGTCACAGTCGCCTCAACACGTGAGTGTTTAAACGCAGGGGTTAAAGGCAACTTGTACTGAGAGCAATGTTATCCGTCAGCATTTTTGTTAGTCGACTATCCTGAAATATTCATTTGAAGGTGGAAATTTGACACGAAAAATCAAAATGTGACGTGGTGCCAGTCTGGAGGTCAAGATGACGAGGGTCTAATGGCATCATCGCCATCATCGTCATCATAGTCATCATCATCGTCATAATCTTCATCATCGTCTTTGTCGTCATCATCGTCATTATCGTTGTTGTCATCATCGTCATCATCGTCGTTGTCATCATCATCATAATCTTCATCATCATCGTTGTCATCATCGTCATCATCATCGTCGCCATCATCGTCATCATAATTTTCATCATCGTCATCATCATTGTCATCATCGTCATCATCATCATCGTCATCATCATCGTCGCCATCATCGACATCATCATAATTTTCATCATCATGGTCATCATCATCGTCGTCGTCATCATCATCGCCACGCGTCACTGCGTGCCACTTTCATTAATGTGTTCAATGAATGCACTTCGCTCATCGATTTCTCCGCCCATGTTGAGCCACTGCCTACCGGCTTCTACTGGATCGATCACACTAAACAGTTTTAGAATTACTCAAGCATGTGACGGATCCTCCGTCAGTTTACTGTAATAATCAGGAACTCCAGTGCAAAGTAATGGTGTAATCACAGCACACGGTGCCAGTGGTGGCCTTTAAAGATAAATAATACCATATCTGAAAATGTTTAACACCTCAACTCATGATAGATACGGATTCTCAAGATCAGTGGAGGAATTTTATAGAGATCGCAATATCAAACGGATGATAATAGCCTCGTAATATGACCGACTCCCGCAGAGGAAGAAGTTATGTAAGTCACGTGTGAATAAATAAAATCTGCCCATCGCAGCATGAAAAGAGGGGACATTGACTGGATCAGATGGGGTGACTGTGGAAATTGTGTCAAAGAAACGGACACTTGTGTTGCATCCGAAATGTCGAGATTTAATTTATTTTAATTTTGTTGTATTTTATTTATACCTACGTGACTTTACCGAAAGAACCAGAGAGGATGGTTCATTGCAGTCACGAAAGCTTCGGATCTAGATTCATGTACAACAAGTTCGCTAAACTCTCAAAAAAAAAATCGGGAGATGATTCTGCCTGGATGGACGTCGCAAACTGCAACACGTGGCAGGGTTTGTGTACCGAGGGCAGTAGTTGAAGGCAGTTCGGGATCAAGACAATCAAATAAAGAGGGGGATGAGGGCAGGACGGAGGACTTTTGAACTTGATGGTCAAGAGCAACATGCCGACGTGCCTCAATTTGAAACGTTTCAAGCGGTGCGCGCACTTAACCGCTACGAAATACGGTTCATCAGCATGGCCGTGAACAACAAGAAACATTGGAACGAAGACTGGAAAGTTCACAAGCAACGAGAGAGGTGCACGCTTGGAATTAAAGTCCGGGACAGAAAGTGGAACACACGGATTGTCACAAACGTGCAGGTTAGTTTTTGCGCGTTTAGTTTGTTGCACTCCCCCTGCACCTCCGATTAGCACGGTTGGCTACGTACGGTGCGAAAGAAGTTCAACACACATACAGGTTAATGAAATCGTTAAAACTGTTAGGACACGTGAGTGGGCTAGCGGTAGGCACATCGCTGGAATGAAGGCCCGTGGTCAAGAATGGAGATGGAGTGGCAGCCACGGAGTGGAACGTGTCCAGGAGGACTCAGAGACGCTGGAGATGGAGCCGTCAAATCTGCCGATTGTAGCAGGTGGCTCGCAGGAAAGTGTGTCAGCAAGTGGCTCGCAGAAAAGTGTGTCAGCAACATGGGTGGGGCAGCTTATGTTAATGTGTGAGAAAACAACGCCAACGCAGCGGGTCTACACCAATCAAAGGGCCGCCAGGCAATCATTGCACCTCGCTACACACACCCACACTGCTGACTGTTGAAGTTGACAAGAAAACACAAATCAAGTCATGACCCAAAGTGGTTGATGACATCTTTCCAATGACTGCTGAGTTTATAAGCATCCTCTCGGTTGAAATTGTGTCCGTATATATGGATGGCTTCATGAACAAATCTTTTTTGATAGCCAGTAGGCTTGCAAAGTACCATCGTCTTAGAGAAATCAATTTCGTGTGAGCCAGCCGCATTAAAATAATGATCAGCCACGGCCGAGGTATTGGTCCTACTGTGTTTCAAATCTGCCTTGTGTTCACGAACACGGTCCGAGACATGTCGCTTAGTTTCCCCAATGTAACTGCTGCCGCAGATACAGCTTAGTTTGTAGACGCCCGGATATTGCATGTCAGGAATCTTGTCCTTCACAGATGGGATCAGGTCACGAATGTTATGTACTGTGTTAAATCGGACCTGGATCTTGTGTTTGTTCATGACTTTGGAAGTTTTTTTGGTCACCCCTGCTATGTATGGCAAGGTGATGGCTTTGATCGGTTTAGGCCTTCATCCAGCAGCGGAGTGCCGACAGTAGCCGCCGCTGACGACGATAACTCAACTCGTGCACGGAGTTAGTCATTTATGAAAAGCAAGTGACACCGCGGGCGGGGCGGCGGGACAAAAACCCAGAGGTCATCGTGTTCGGATGACCCCCTGCGGTGCAGTGCCCGTCATCACAGGGGGCGCTGCAAGACGCCACGCACGCGCGCGCGCGCGCACTCTGCAAAGAGGAAATGCAACACGGGCTGCTTGCATCATGGCACAGGCAGGCAACGCCACACACGCCGCGCGGCGTGCAGCCCCCCGTCCGTATGGCCCGTGCGTTGCCGTAGGACGAGGGTCGCACGGCGTGCGCGCGAGCGGAGGTCGGGAAATGAGGAATGGGATGGAGGGGGCGGCGGTGCAGATTTCGTGCTTGCGGCGGAATGCATGGAGGTGCATGCGGGCTGTACGTGTGCATGCGGCGTATGTACATGCAGGGGGGCGGCAGGCTGGGACTGGGTCACTTGAGGCAGGGCCTTCAACAAAGCACTCCACATGGCCTTGGAGTCACCCTTGCGTGCACTTCTAGAGGCGCGAGCGGGGGCAGGGTCCACCCTCAACACAGGGCGCGGGGCCTCCGGGGTTACCTCGCCTTGGGAGTCACCCTCTGCCGGCTCCTCCTCGGCCTCCTCCTGCCGGGGGGTGGGGTGGGGGTGGTGCGTGCGTGCGTTTTTAAGGGAAGACACAAAAGCAAATTCGTTAAATATCGCCGGACAGGTGATGGTGTCTGCAGCCACCATGCGGAAGGCGTACGTACGTACGTCCGTTGAACTTCTTTCGCGCCGTACGTACCCAGCCGTGAGGTGCGGGTGGGGAGGGTAACAAACTAAACACAACAAAAAAAACGGTTCTAAAGAAATGAGTTTTCATTCGAGAGTGGACGGGCAACTTGTGTGCTGTCAATGGAGAATATGTTGAAGAGTTAACCCTGCCTATGCAGTACGCCTGACGATGTATTCAGAGATTGCGACCACGTGTTTATTTGCCCATTGAGTTTGAGAGTTCAACGTTCAGATGCCTGCAACAACAAAAATCCCCATCAGGGAGGTCATCATGGCCCAATGCGGTTGATGCCACCACAGCTCTCCCATCGATTCCTTCCCTCGCAAAGTTAACATCCCTCCTCCAAGGTCAGGGTAATTAACGGTGACCACCACCTGGCTTTCAGCTCTCTTCTCCCTTGCTCTCCTATAACTATCGATGAGTACAGTGCCACTCAAATGTCACCACCTGCCCCATTCCCGCCCTGAAACATGCGTCCCGCTCACATCTACAGCACTTTCCTGCCACTTCCTTAATTGTTGGTGGAAATTGTATTTTACCAGGTGAGGCCCACTGAGCTATGTAGTTCTTTTTCAGAAGTGAGCTGGCCACAAGTGAGAGCTCAACGAAAGTGGCTCATCATCGTGTGGAAATTTCTAGCGGCCAAATACTCGAAACTCGAGACGTTGATTCGTAAATGTGGAGGGGAAAACCGGAGGACCCGGAGAAAAATCCACGCGACAACGGGGAGAGAGAGACACGCAAACTTCAAATATACAGGTGTTAGGGTTGGGATCGAACCCGTGATCTCCTGTATACCAGGCGAGGTAGTTAACATCTCGCCATCCATGGAAATCCTAGCATCGTCCCCAATCTCGCAAGGGAACGTGAACCAACCGCTGTCGCTGTGTTCATTTCAGCCAGGCGACGTTTCGAGAAGACGCCCTTCTTAGTAGCTCACCGTGTGCCGTAACACACCGCCTTATTTTACGCTCAATGAGGCATTGTGTCATCGACAAATGTGCTCAGTTGTTTGTGATTGTGCGCACCGCTGCCAAACGCAACATTACCAAATCCTGCAATTCACTCCAAGTGTGCCCTCTGCTGCCTGAATCTACAAATTCACGCCCCGCTCACGGTCCAAATCGTCTGAACACGTCCACAACAAGGGAGCCCTGTGTGCCGTAGACACCCGTTGACTGTAACTACGCACGGCCACGGCTTTAATTTGAATATCTCTGCACCCACCCCGCAACACACCACGCTCAGCGTGCATCTCCCTATCGCTGCGGCCACGGCGCCTAAACTCCCAAGTCTCCGGGCGAACCTGGAAAATGTTCAGCGATAAATGAAGCCCTGAATACAACTCACTGCGATGTTTGTTATCCCGGCAGCTGGCATTCCTAAACGCTCCCGGTTTTGGTGAAAGTGAAATATGTCGCTTTTTATATCATACGTTGGCTTTCACGACTGATATTATTGTTGTTGTTGTTGTTCATGATTGTTTCCTTTCTTGGGTTGGATCGTCCTGTGGGTATAACGTCAATTGGAGAAGCAATGCACCGACCAGCATCGCGAAACACAGCCGAATAAAATAGCAGTCGTCACGTGCGCCAAGTGATATTGTTTTTCAGCAAACCAGTTACGTTGAAAAGCGAGCGCAGCTTTTCGGCGGTTTTATACAATTGTCAAAATTGTATGTTTTATATATATAATATATATATAAAATAATATATGTGTAAAAATATATAATAGGCGACATCGCGGGAAATGGCAACTCTTTAGAGCACGTGGATGCGTTCGCTGTCCACGTGCTTTAAAATGGGACCATTGCCCTGAACGTCACCTATTACGTATTTTTTGAAGACCACACGGATGTTATTGATGAATGTGTTTAGTTTATATATATTTTTCGAATTTGTTTTAAAAATGACATGTACAAGACATTTGAAAAAAAAACCACTCAAAACCAAATGAACCATCACCGCCGCCGTAGCGCGGACGACGGACGTTCGTCTGCGTACGTCCGACACCGTGGAATTTCGTGAGCGGTTTCACAACTGCTCACGAAAGGTGGAAAGAATTGTGCCTTTCACAATCGCTGGGCTCCTAGTTCTTTTGACTCACGCTGCACCCAAGTAACAAAAAAAAGTCTACCGTCTTCTTGGTTCTTTCGGTAAAGTCACGTAGAAGGGAAATAATAAAATAATAAAAATCAAACATAATAAAATTATTCTCACGACGTTTCGGCCACAACGCAAGTAGCCGTCCTCAGGAGAAGAACAGGTCTGTCGGAAAGACAGCGTCATTCAGACGCTGTCTTTCCGACAGACCTGTTCTTCATTCAGACGCTGTCTTTCCGACAGACCTGTTCTTCACATGAGGACGGCTGCTTGCGTTGTGGCCGAAACGTCGTGAGAATAATTTTATTATGTTTTATTTTTATTATTTTATTATTTCCCTTCTACGTGACTTTACCGAAAGAACCAAGAAGATGAATCCCTGCAGTCACGAACGCTTTAAATCGAAATTTAAGTCTACCGTCATGATTGCATTGATGATTTCACCCAACAATGAAACTGTCCATGACGCAATTCTGACGAGCAATGAATATTAATCTTGATTTGAGTCTTTCGTGACTGCAGGCATTCATACTCTTTGACTCTTTCGGTAAAGTCACGTAGGTAGAAAATAAAAATAATAAAATAAAAATAATAGATCACGACGTTTCGATCGCAACAAGTCTTCAGGTGAAGAAAAAAAGACAACCGCTTTTTGCTGCGATCGAAGCGTCGTGATCTAGTCTTTTTATTTTTTATTTTTTTATTTTCTACCTACGTGACTTTACCGAAAGAACCAAAGAAAATTAACATTAAGTTATGATGCGTATTTATTTTCTCGTTATACATGTATTCATTTTTTTTATTCGCTAAGTAGTGGGGTTTTGTTTTTGTATTATCTGTGTACGGAACTGGATAATCGATGTGCAGCGTTGTGGGATGCAATTGCATGACTGACGCTGTCTAAAATGAAATGATTATTATAATTTCACAATAACCTCAAATTTTAACGCGTTGCCGCCACCGCCACGGAGCGTTGGCTCTCTCGTAGAGAGCGCATCATGTGAATGCGGCTCGGAGGCGCGAGAAGGAACCGCAGACGAGCGGGGAGGCAGCAGTCAGACGGTTTAGCCTGAGCTACCAACAATTGCCCGAGCTCTGCGGTCCTCTACATATCAAGGTGTCGTCGGCCAATAAATTGAGCGTTTCCAAAATGTGCATAAAAAATGCTTTATTTGGCTTCTGTAAATTTCCACGCGATGAGCCACTTTTGTTGAGCTATCATTTGTGGCCAGGTCGCTTCCGAGAAAATATTTATATAGCTCAGTGGGCCTTACCTGGTAACATTTAAAAAAAAAAAGTTCCAAAAAATATATATCAATTTCGATTTAAAGCTTTCGTGACTGCAGGGATTCATCTTCTTGGTTCTTTCGGTAAAGTCACGTAGAAGGGAAGTAATAAAATAATAAAACATAATAAAATCAAATAATTCTCACGTTTCGGCTACAACGCAAGCAGCCTTCACCTGAAGACGGCTGCTTTCATTGTAGCCGAAACGTCGTGAGAATTATTTGATTTTATTATGTTTTATTTTTATTATTTTATTACTTCCCTTCTACGTGACTTTACCGAAATAACCAAGAAGAATATATATGAAGTTTACAAACTGGATGCCAACCAAGGAATGGAATCACGGCACCCAATGACGAGTGAACTCCATGCAAACGGACGCAACGGGAGGAACTCCACCACCCAACTGCTGTTACAAAAAACGCACTCGGAGGAGAAGAGCTGGAATGAGAGATTATAAGACGTTAGTACCGCACTTCGGAGAGAGAGAGAGAGGATGGCAGAGCAATGGGGGATGGATTTATCTCTTGAGACATACTACCTCTGACACCGCCTCCGCCTCGTCTTCGTCCTAGAAGCGTTCAACAAGACGCGAGTGTCAATGAGCGTTCGTCAACATTAACATCAACGGCACCTTAGACGACGCTACGCACGACGCAACACGTCCGATTAGCTCCACCGCACCTCCGATTGGCACGGTTGGCTACGTGCGGTGCGCAAGAGAAGTTCAACACACGTGCACACACACACACACACGTACGTACGTACACGTCACAGAGAACATTAACATAACGCAACATGATAATTGTTTTTTTACCCTTCTATCTGGCAACAAAACTGACACCTTTTTTACAAGGAGTCATGTTTGCATAGACCGCAATACCTGCAGTCATAATACAAACAAAAGACATAACTCGGCGTCATCTGGTCCAACCCATGTAAGACTAGGCTCTAAGGAAAGCTGTCTCGGGTGTGGACCAATCAACTTCAAGGACAGTGCACATTATCAGAGTTATGTCTTTTGTTTGTATTATGACTGCAGGTATTGCGGTCTATGCAAACATGACTCCTTGTAAAAAGGTGTCAGTTTTGTTGCCAGATAGAAGGGTAAAAAAACTATTATCATATTTTTACTGGCAAATGAGGTTCCCATGGTATAACGCAACATATTTACAAAAATAACAACAACAAGGTTCAAGCCCTCTTTGTCAAATCCACCGCTGGAAGAGGGCCTTCCCACACCGCGCGGGTCGTCGGGGTTACATGACCATACTTCAGCGCGCTGGTCAGTGCCGGGTTGCTGAACACAGGGAGCGTAGATGTATGTATTGTGTAGAACTTCTTTCGCACCGTACGTAGCCAACCAGCCGCGGGGGAAGGACAACAAACTAAACACAAAAAGCAGTTCTAAAGAAGTAGGTTTTCACTTTAGAAAGCGTGGGGGCTTAGAAGTTGTGCATGACAATGGGCGCTTTGCTGCGATGCCCTCTGCTGCCCACAGCTCAGCCCAGCAGCAACAGCGGGAGCTGCCTATAGCACCTGCTAATACTTCATACACGGCGGTCGCCCACGCACGGACGCTCCAGGCTCAACCCGCCTGCTTAGCTTCCCAGGTCTGACGAGATGTGGCCCAATGGGGTTGATTTGCTCCATAGGATCAGCACTTTGTGTGTTCTGGTTGGAGATGGCATGTAAGCTTCATTTGTTTAGTTTTTTTCAAACTGCAAACGTTTCGAAAACCTGCGTATCCAGAATCAGAGTCAGATGATGTATTTATACTGCAGGAGAAATCCGATGAGCTATGAAGCTCTTTTTCACAGATGTTCAGTAGTGGCACGGGGTAAGAACGTTACAACAACAAATACTTACACAAACACGATATGAGTGCAAAGTACAAGAAAGGTAAACAAAACACCCAAACACACACACAAAAACAACTAAACCATCCCCATCCTACCAGGCAAAGCCCACTGAGGTATTTAACTTATTTTTCAGAAGCGACCTGGCCACAAATGATGGCTCAACAAAGTGGCAGCCATCATTTGGACATTTGTAGCATCAAGATAATCTAAATAATCTCAAGGCATGGAACGTTTAGGCCAACATTTCCTTCTTTATTGTTTCTACCTCGGAGCTTTCCCGTGTATTCAAGGTGTGCTCATCGCATTATATCTGCCGGTTCTTTCTAAAGAGCCGAGAATGTTTTATTTGCACCATTCGTAAATGATCAACGACGTATTGTCCAATGCACGCTTTAAAATGTAACGGTGCGACGATCAATGTTATAGCTCTACACTGGAATGCGATGGCTACTGTTGTCGTGGGATATGACCAACAAGTTACTCCATGTGCCCAGGAGAGGGCATCCAACAGTCACTTGGAAAGCATCATCAGCTGGGGTCGTGGCTGTCAGTGAATCTGTGGGGAGCGGTGGTGTAGTGGTTAGCGCTACGCTGCGCTACGAACCCGGAGGCCCGAGTTCGTCTCCCGCTCACAGCCAACACCAGTGACGATTATCTTAACCGGTCTTGGGCCTCCCCTAGGTCGTCTCAGCCTCAGATGAGTGCCTCGTGCGATGTGTAAACTTTGTCACTAGGGTGACAAAGGCGGCCGGGCGTGGTGCTGGCACACCCAGCCCCTCGTGTGCCATGTCGGCCTTCATAGGTGCTCGCTAACAGCACTTGTGCTGACCGTAGGTTAAGGCTATACGGGGGATCTTTGTCTTTGTTAGTTAATCCGAGCATTGGGCGGGTCATGGACAATTTACGGGGTTCCTGATGAAAGCTCCTTCAAATGGCCAGGAGTACAATCATTAATATATATACATTTCGCAGGCCAGGAAAACCATGAGTTTCACACAACACACAGACAGTCCCAAAGTATGAATAAATAGGAATAGGTTTTACCCTTTCTGGCACTAAAACAGGTTTTAAGATGTTCAAACACCAAATTTAAACCTTTTGCAAGGAAACGTGTCTGAATTATCCACACGTACTAAAGAAGGCTATCCACCAATCAGTTTCAAAGACAATGCATACACAATCAGAGGATGTTTTGCTTGCATATCGACCGCAAAGTATGGTGTGTGGTTAATGCAGACAAGATTTCTTACAAAAGGTTTCTATTTAGTGTTTGAACGTCTTAACACATTGCCAGAAAGGGTAAAACCTATTCTTATTTTGTCATACACAGCCACTTGTTAAACGCACACAGCCTCGGTGCATTGTACAGCAAAACAACAACAACAACAACCCATCAGCATTGTCCCGTAAAGGTGCATTGTTGTCCTCTCGTCTGTGGTCACAATCAAAGTGAAATTCGGCAACCCGAATCGTAATCCACGCATCGATGGATGGTTACGCGCCTCGTGTCAAATCGTGATGACTTACGGCTGTAAGAGAGAACGCAACACATTTTTCGTGTGTGTGTGTTTTTAGCATGTTGTCCTTTCACCCCCACGCACCTCCGATTAGCACGGTTGGCTACGTATGGCACGAAAGTAGTTCAACATGGATACATACAACGAAGGGCACGGCGAAAGAGAAGTGAAATCAAAGAGACACGAAACAATCCGCTGCACGGTCACTCTACCTCTGTGACTGGCTCATCTTCTGGGTCTTCCTCCGTCTACGTGGAGGGGGTGGGGGGTGGATACACACAGGCCCGTCGCGTCATTCGTTATCTTTCGAGGCGGCAGTCGAGGCTGAAGACAAACGCGTCTCGGATTGACGGGCGCGCCGCTATCTTCTGAATGCTGGCTCGCTCGTGGTGGTGGTGATGGCCGTGGTGGTGTTGGTGGTAGTGGTGGCGGCGGTGGTGGCGGTGGTGGTGGTGGTGGTGGTAGCGGTGGTGGTGGTGGCGGCGGTGGTGGCGGTGGTGGTGGTAGCGGTGGTGGTGGTGGTGGCGGCGGTGGTGGCGGCGGTGGTGGCGGTGGTGGTGGTAGCGGTGGTGGTAGCGGTGGTGGTGGCGGCGGTGGTGGCGGCGGTGGTGGTAGCGGTGGTGGTGGTGGCGGCGGTGGTGGTGGTAGCGGTGGTGGCGGTGGTGGTGGTGGCGGCGGTGGTGGCGGTGGTGGTGGTAGCGGTGGTGGTGGCGGCGGTGGTGGCGGTGGTGGTGGTAGCGGTGGTGGTGATAGCGGTGGTGGTAGCGGTGGTGGTGGTGGCGGCGGTGGTGGCGGTGGTGGTGGTAGCAGTGGTGGTGGTGGTGGCGGCGGTGGTGGTGGTGGTAGCGGTGGTGGTGGTGGTGGCTGCGGTGGTGGCGGTGGTGGTGGTAGCGGTGGTGGTGGTAGCGGTGGTGGTGGTGGCGGCGGTGGTGGCGGTGGTGGTGGTAGCAGTGGTGGTGGTGGTGGCGGCGGTGGTGGCGGTGGTGGTGGTAGCGGTGGTGGTGGTGGCGGCGGCGGTGGTGGTGGTAACGGTGGTGGCGGTGGTGGTGGTGGCGGTGGCAGCGGTGGTGCCGGTGGTGGTGGTGGCCTAATGCTCTATGCAACGTCCGTGTTGACACTCACTGGGCCTGATGCGCAGGTTGGCAAATAAAGTTTTGGTTTTCATTTTTGGCACGCATTTTACTCACGCGATCTGAGGCAAAAAAAGTTTTCGTATGTTGAACTTCTTTCGCACCGTACGTATAGCCAACTGCGCCAATGGGAGGTGAGATTTTGAACTTGAGTTGAGTGGAAGATACGAAAACTCGACACCTCGTGGTCGAACCCGAGTCCCGTGAGGCCCCTAAATGTGGTATTCCATTGATAATCTACTTACTGTGCCAGTGAATAAACAACGAATGGGTTTTATTATTATTATTAATTGTTTTTAAAGTCGGTCCCCGTTTAATAAAAAAAAGCTTAGAATTTAGGCACTTCCACAACCTTGTTGGGAATGTTCTCGCTGCTGTGGTGGCTCACGGCAGCAGAGGTCGCAACCGGGTACCCGATACCCGTACCCTACCCGTACCCGGCCGGGTACGGGTAGGGTACCCGTTTGCGACCCTGGTGCGGCCGGGTACGGGTAGGCCGTGAGTCACTGGTGAGTAACCGTTTGTCACTCATTTCGGGTAGGGTACGGGTAGGGAACGGGTACCCGTACTCGGCCGGGTACGGGTACGGGTAGCCGTTTGTGACCCTGGTGCGGCCGGGTACGGGTAAGGAATCAAAACCCGTTTGTGACCTCTGCACAGCAGTGCGCAGTGTGGGCCCACGACAGAGCTGCAAACCGAACACGCAGCAGCGTTAATCCACCAGACAGGGGCGCCCTGCTTGCCTCTGTCACGTGCTCCTCCTCCTCCTCCTTCACATCAGCCTCTTCTTCCTCCTCCTCCTCCACGGCCTCCACCACCTCCGCCTCCTCCTCAGCCTCCTCCTCCTCCTATTGGTGGACATGAAGAGCTGTCTGGTCATGTCTCTCACACACGCGCGCAGTGACGCCGCACGTTGTGAAAGCGCTGACGAGTGAAGGAGTGGAAAGGGGCCGTTCATAAATGACGTCACGGGATTTTGGACGATTTTTGACCCCCCCCCCACCTCGTCACACGGCGTCACAAAAAGTCAGACCCCCCCCCTCAAATATGACGTCACAAAGCTCTGCCCCCCCCCAAAAGAAAACATGCTTCAAATCGCTTTACACTATTGTCATTGTAGTGCGTATTTAATGTGGCTCTGCACTCTGATGTTGTAGGAGAAAACATTTATTAAAACGTATATTTAATTAAGTAGAACGTGTTGTCCATGTTTATTTAAAGTTGCGCATTTTGATGTGACGTCACATTTCTCAAACCCCCCCCCCCCCCTTCGTCTCACATCGTCACAAATGTCTGACCCCCCCCCCCCCCTAGGTGCGTGACGTCATTTATGGACGGCCCCAAAGCAGCGGTCGCTCTGCTCTGAGACAGTGGCCCAATGTCTGGGCGTGACTTAAAGAGAATGAGTGGCTGTATTCTCGACTGGGGGGTGTGGGGGGGGTGCATTAATATTGCAGTATCTCTCTCTGTCTCTCTTACAAGCACATCCCTTCAAAGCCAGTGTCGTGTGTTGAATGGAAAGAGCAGCTGGACGAGTGGCTCCACAGGGTTCTCATCCTGCTACCATGACAGGACTGTGACATTCATCGGTCTTTTATGAGAGCCTCACCTCTATATTCCATCTCTAAATCTCACCTCTAAGAATACTCACCTCTGAATCTCACCTCTGAAACCCACCTCTAGGCATCTCACCTCTAGGAATCTCACCTGAGAATCTCAGCTCTGAGAATCTCACCTCTAGGAATCTCACCTCTGAAGATCACCTCTCAATCTTACCTCTAAGAATCTCACCTCTCAATCTCACCTCTGAAACCCACCTCTGAAACCCACCTCTGAAACCCACCTCTAGGAATCTCACCTGAGAATCTCAGCTCTGAGAATCTCACCTCTAGGAATCTCACCTATGAATCTCACCTCTGAATATCACCTCTAAGAATCTCACCTCTCAATCTCACCTCTCAATCTCACCTCTGAAACCCACCTCTGAAACCCACCTCTAGGAATCTCACCTGAGAATGTCACCTCTGAGAATCTCACGTCTGAATCTCACCTCTGAATCTCACTTCTAAAACTCACCTCTGAAACCCACCTCTCGGAAAATTCTCTGCGGACGAATTTATTTAAATGCGCGTTAGTGTTTCAAAACCAAATCACCACTGCAATGTGAGCTGAAAGAGAAGCCGTACACAAAGAGGTTATGGAAGAAAAACCTTGAAACTGTAAATATATTCATGTATAAAATTCAACAACAAACTGTAAATAAGAACTCAGCGACGCATTAAGAGCCGAGCAAACATCGGAACAGGCCGCAGGTCTGGCTTGCCTCAAGCCCAGGATCCACCTCCTCCTCCTCGACCTCCTCCTGGGACCATGTGGAGCCACACACAGTCACGTGACAGGAAATGACATCACTGAGGAGGTTACATCTTCACGACGGTTGTGCCACAGGTGTGATAACAATGACCCGGTTCGTCCAGGAAAATCCTCGCCGAGTCTGAAGCCATGGGGTATTTGGTATTTTTCCATCAATGAGTGATTTGGCTTCACGTGGGAGAAAACAGGAGCACCCGGAGAAAACAAGCCAAAAATATAAACTATTTTCAATATATTTTTATTTTAACATACAAGGCCCACTGCGCTATATAGCTCTTTTTCAGAAGCAACCTGGTCAAAAATGATAGCTGAACGAAGTGGCTTATCATCATGTGGAAATGTATAGCAGCCAAATACTCTATAAACGCATGTTGATTCTAAACGTGGAGGGAAAAACGGGAGGACCTGGAGAAAACTTCACGCTACCACGGGGAGAACATACAAACTCCAAATATACAGGCATCAGGGTCGGGATTGAACCCACGACCTCCTGTATATCAGGCAAGGTAAATTTCGATTTAAAGCTTTCGTGACTGCAGGGATTCATCTTCTTGGTTCTTTCGGTAAAGTCACGTAGAAGGGAAGTAATAAAATAATAAAAATAAAACATAATAAAATAATTCTTACGACGTTTCGGCCACAACGCAAGCAGCCGTCCTCAGGTGAAGACCAGGTCTGTCGGGGAGACAGCGTCATTCAGACGCTGTCTCCCCGACAGACCTGGTCATTCAGACGCTGTCTCCCCGACAGACCTGGTCATTCAGACGCTGTCTCCCCGACAGACCTGGTCTTCACCTGAGGATGGCTGCTTGCGTTGTGGCCGAAACGTCGTGAGAATTATTGTATTATGTTTTATTCTTATTATTTTATTACTTCCTTTCTATGTGACTTTACCGAAAGAACCAAGAAGATGGACCAGGCAAGGTAGTTCACATCTCGCCACCGTGGCTCAATATGAGAGTAAAAAATACTGAAATCTCTGCTCAGATAGATTTCAGAATCAAATGCCTCACTGCAACCTCCTGACCCGCTCACAGTGAGTGTCTTCAACAGGTGATAATGAAGGCAGTCTCCAAGAAGGTACACTAGACAGGCTGAACTTGGCTTGGATTTCCAGTTCCAATGAGGTAAGGTGCATTGGGGGCGATGTGGTAGTTAGTCTACTGATGTCTAATGGTGAACCCTACTCTGACACAGAGTAATGCCACACTCCAGTGCACTGTGATGACAGAGGTCCCCATGAGTTACACGCTCATGGTCTCATCCGGGGTTGCCCATCACTGCATTACAAATAAAAATCGCACGAAAGTGATTTTAACTGACTTCGCTGCGAAAATTCACCACGATCATCATCAATCACTGACACTCCACTGCTGATGAAGGCTTCCCCACGCTTGTGTTGGTTATGGATATGTTTGACCATACTTCACCACGCTGGTCAGTGCGGGTTGGTGGAACGACGCTGCTCAGGACGGGTATCAGTTATTGCTCGTCACTGATGTAGCCATGACTGGGAATATAACTCTGGTAGCCAGCTTCGTAGTGCAGTGCGCTAACCGCCGTGCCACCGCTCACCTCAACCCCCACTGTGCCATACGAAATGAGGTCAAATAAAAACTTAGAGAAATTAAAATGGAAATGATCTGCGGACGAAATTATTTAAATCCGCGTTAGTGTTTCAAAACCAAATCGACACTGCAATGTGAGCTGAAAGAGAAGCGGTGAACAAAGAGGTTACGGAAGAAAAACCTTGAAACTGTAAATACATTAATTAAAATATCCAACAACCAAAACTGTCAATAAGTAGTCAGCGAAGCATTAAGAGCCGAGCGAACATCGGAACAGGCCGCAGGGCTGGCTTGCCTCAACCCCAGCAACCTCCTCCACTTCCTCAGCCTCCTCCTCCTCCTTGACCTCCTCCTGGGTCAGTGTGGAGCCACACACGGTCATGTGACAGGAAATGACGTCACTGAGGAGGTTACATCTCCACGACGGTTGCCACGTGTCTCAATGGGCGTCTGTGGACATCAACATTCGCGGCATCTACGCAACGTTACACGCCGCGATATGTCACCGAGCAACGAACTGGCCTCGTTAACGCGACGTAGCATAAGAAGAAGAAACACGACAAGGAGATTAAGGCCCTCTTTGTCGATCCACCAGAAAAAAACCTCATCGAGTCTCAAGGCTCTTTTTCATGAGGGTCCTTTCATTGGGATATTTGGTAAATTTCCCCGATAGCTTAACACACACCCACACAATGCGCCTCCTTCACGAATCTATCCATCCACATAACATGATAAACGACGTTATATTACCCATCCCATCAGCCACACTGCCTTCTGGGAGTGCGTCATTTCAGCAGCACCGTTCAACACAAACTCTGGGGGCCTCTCTTGAAATTCAGTGTCTCATCAGCAAGAGTCATGCTCGCCTGAACCTAAGGGGTGGCCAGTGAGTGGCTCAAATCGATCCTCACTAATCACACACAATGATGATGATCGAATGATGATGATGGCACTAATAGTAATGACTGGACTAATTCGGTCGTGATATTCATTGCAATGGGCGCATTGCTAAAGATGAGGCAAATCTCAAAATGCGTTTGACCACTCTACAATCCCTTTACAATACCAACAGCAACATCATCATTATCATCGGCCTGGGTTAATCCACTGCTAGATGAAACCGTCCTGCCCAGCTGCCACACCTCGCGGCCACATGACCACGTAACGATCCACCGAGCAGAGCGGCTGAAATCCATCGTGAACTTTGACCTCGGTTTTCTCATCAACGTCATCCGACCTCGCTGTGAGCTTTGCGAAGGAGGAAATACGGCACTTGACGCGAAGCACCTTGCGGTGGAAGGATTAAGTGGCGTTTACGAGGCACGGAAATCGTTGCCGAGGCAAGAATGAATGCAACAGCACTGCCAGCCTGGATATCACGTGAAGTGACTCCCCGCTCATGCGGGCACTGAGGCGGGACCTCATTCCCCATTGAACATTGAATTGACATTTCACAAACTTTGCGGCATTTCATACGAATATTTAAAACAATGTCCTATCCAGTACCGGTTGTACTGCACTGTGGCTCTGTACCGGTACGGATACAATTGTGTTGTGACAATGTTGGTGATGTCCAAAGTTCCGTGTCACCATCCGGCCAAGTGGCTCACAGTTCAGCAGTTAAATTTTGATTTGAAGCTTTCGTGACCGCAGGGATTCATATTCTTGGTTCTTTTGGTAAAGTCACGTAGAAGGGAAATAATAAAATAAAAAATATATAAAACAATCAAATTCTCACGACGTTTCGACTGCAACATAAAATAAATTAAATTTATTTTATTTTATACCTACGTGACTTTACCAAAAGAACCAAAAAGTTTGAATTGTGTAACCAAACTGAGTTGTAAATAAAGCACAATTTGGTGAAGCGATGTTCGTGTGCGAATGACGTTGTACGGAGAAACTCCCCAGAGCGGAGGAAACTCAAACAAACCCACCATGTCTGTGGAGAAAGGAGTCCTGTACCATAAAATAACACACAATGGGGCAAGCAGGGATGAACAAGATTAGTCATTACCAAGATGATGAATGAGGGCTGCATCCCAGGTAGTGCGCACGCATTGAACCAACGTTGGCCGGTTCTGAGCAACTATGACCCATCGTTGTCACTTGTCATCAGCCACGATCAATCGACTGCTGGATGAAGGCCTCCCCCAAGTCATCGCCATGCCACACGCCATCTCGGTGTAACAATCCGTCCGGCACTTGCCTTTTAACCTGTCCTGAATCCTTACCAGCAGCACCGCTCCTTCTACGTCACGCTGCAGACTCTTTGATCGCCCCTCGTACAAGACGTCTCCCTACCGCCGTGCAGTGCGCTGTCTAACCACCGCCAGTTAATTAGCACGCCAAAAAAAAAAACTCGATAAATGTGCAGCGGTGCTTCAGCGTCACCGACGTGATCACGAGGCATGCTTTATCCACTGCTGGACGGAGGCCTCGCCCACGCTGTCAACACCTCGCTCAGTCCGCCACGATCTATTCAGCTCCTGCACACGAGCCGATGTCATCGCTCCATCTCCGAAGAGGACGACATTTTTGGGGCCTTCTCTCATTTGGCTGCCGTCATCCTTTCTCGGGACATATCCTGCCCTATTAAGCAACTTTTATACTTTTTTCTATTTTACCAGGTAAGGCCTCACTGAGCTATGTAGCTCTTTTAATAGGCGAGCTGGCCACAAATTATAGCTCAACGAAGCGGCTCGTCACGTGGAAATGTATAGCAGCCAAATACTCTAAACGCACGTTGTTTCTAGATGTGGAGGCAAAACCGGAGGACTCTGAGAAAAATTCCACGTGACCACAGGGAGGACACGCAAACTCTAAATATACAGGCATCAGGGTCGGGATCGAACCCCCGACCTCCTGCACACCAGGCAAGGTAGTTAACATCTCGCCATCTTGGCACCATTTCGTAACAGTCCATTGGTTCCTCCCCGCAGTGTAATCCTACCCACCCATTCCTCCATCGCTTCTGGCCCTGAGTGGACTCAATGCGGCGGGCTGCCTGGGATGCGATGGAGCACAGCACGCAATCGATTGACATTTGACCACAGCGCGCGCACGGGCCAGCAGTCCTGCTTGCCTCATTCGCAGGCAGCTCCTCCACCTCTTCTTCCACCTGCTCCTCCTCCTCCACCTCCTCCCCCTCCTCCTCCTTTTCATCAGCATGGTACAAAAAACACGGTCACGTGACAGGCGGCGGACGCCACGAGCATCGTCGCTTTCAACAAAACGCGTCGCCAGGTTTCATCGACCGACGGTGTTCACTTCAAGGGTGTTGCGCCCAGCAGTGAGCGAGCAAGACCGAGCGACAGTGTAGGGATGACCCAAGGGGTCCCGGAATCACGTAAAAAAATCAATTGCGGTGCACCGAATATCAGCTCCTCATTCAGAGTCTGCTAAAAGTGAAACCACCCCCACCCCCGCTGAAACCTGAGAGCACACGCGCGCTAATTAATATCTATCCGTCGCCTCGATCTTGTTCGCAGCTCTCTTCTCTCACTCGGGCAAAAAAAATTGAGCGACAGGGCGCGTTCTTTTTCAGGCTGGCCACGTGCGTAGACCGTTGACGCCAGCGCACAATGGCCTTCTCTCGCGAACGACGTCCTCTAATGAAGCAGCGTGGTGCGTTGGTGTTGCCCCCGGTTCACACACAACCGCGGTGTTCTATGTTGTACGTTGAACTTACACGTTGAACTTCTGTCGCACCGTACGTAGCCGACCGTGCTAATTGGAGGTGTGGGGGAAGGACAATAAAAACTGAAGATAAAAAGCGGCTCAATAGCAGTGAGCTATCAAACCCTTTGCGTCAGACTTCCTCCGATGAACGTGAGTCACGATTTATAATTATTAACCGTGGCAGGCTGCCAGATTCGAACCGTGAGCTTTTGCTAACAAAGTGCCGAACGCTCTACCGCTACGCCGTGTCACCGCCCGAACAAAAGACGCTTAACTTCCTGTACCTCGTGGTCTTCTGCCTGCGGTTCCTCCAAAGTCTCCTCCACTGCGGCCTCCTCCACTTCTGCCTGTGGAGGCGACAAGAACATGCATCTTGCTGTTCAACTGAGCCGTGCCAAAGAAACAAAGTTTTTTTTCTACAGCAGAACCCGAGCCACGCTGCTGATGAGTCTACCGATTGACGCACGTATGGCAACAATTATTAGCCCCGACCCTGGCCCTGCTTGGCCCCGAGCCTGAATCACTAAATAAAAAATAAAAAATTATTTGACCACGTAAGGTCTTCTGAGCTGTATAGCTCTCTTCGGGAAGTGACCTGGCCACAAATGATAACTCAAAGAAGTGGCTTATTACGTGGAAATGTATAGCAGCCAGATACTCAAATAATATAATCAAAACGTGTGTTTCTAAATGTGGAGGGAAAAACACCTGATGACCTGGAGAAAAAGTTACGCGACCACGGGGAAAATAACATGCAAACTCCACATAAACAGGCATCAGGTCGGGATCGAATCCCCGACCGTCCTGTATACCTGGCGAGGTAGTCAACATCTCCTAGCCACCGTGGTGCCACAGTCTGCTCCTGGCTCGGCTCGACAAATAACCAGAGGAAAGCCACCCATACTGAAAGAGCCCAGCGCAGGTTCGGCTCGGATGTGTCAGTGGAAATGGGTCCATGTTTAACGGATGTGTCAGTGGAAATGGGGCCATGTTTAACGGATGTGTCAGTGGAGATGGGGTCATGTTTAACGGTCATATTTTCCGTGGCGCTAAACGCCGGCTCCAAATAAATCAGAAACGCCACAATCCCACACTGCTACTGCACACGCGCTCCGATTTCACAGCTCCATCTCCTCTGTGGTCGTCCGCTCAGGCGCGATCCCTCCTTTGTTGGCCACCACTGCCTCGTCTGTTTTGGCCATCGGCCACCATCCCCTTTGGGCCGTATGCCCTACCCAAGGCCACTTGCTTGCCTAAACGGTCAATGTGCCGCTCTATTAATAGGGCCGACAGGAAGTATTTACTTTGAATATTTCGTCTCCGCTGGGTCGCGGGAATGGGCAATGCGGTGCCCCAGTAGGGGTTGTGTGTGCGTGCCCCAGCCCTGCTGGAGGCCGGCACAGCCGCATCGAGAATTCGAGCCGCGCGTAGCCCAGATGCATTCTCGGATTTCCACCTGGTCCTGGTGTTCTCAGAACTTCTAATTGGTAGGTCTTCCACCAAAATTCTAAAGTCCAGTTTTTTTTTTTTCAATCAGTTGTACAAGTAGGAATTATGCCCACTCAAAACAATAAGTTTACACGTGAAACAATTACCTAGCGGCTGAGCCACGCTCGCGGCCAACACCGGTGACGATGATCTGAACCGGTGCTGGGCCCTCCCCTACGTCGACTCAGCCTTAAATGGGTAAACGGTGCGGTGTGTGTTAACATCAACTTGCCATGCCGGCACGTTAACCTCCCTTGCCCCAGCAGTCCTTTGAAGGCTATTCGGGGAATCTTTGTCTTTGGTGCGTGTGCTTTTAACACTGGTGGGTGTCAAACCTTTTCTTGGGGCGGTGGGGCTATTCCGAGGAACGTGAGGATGGCTTCATTCTCCTTCGCATTGAAGAAAGCCTCATAATCCTGAAGGAGTGAGAGGGGAAGTCAGATCACACGATATCACATCAAGTGGGTAATTGGGATATTTGTTGTTGTTGTATCTCTCCCCTTACCTCCAGCCAATTGATTACAAATCCGCTCTAGACATCATCTCACGAGATGAAGAATCTATTCCAAAACAATAATAATAATAATGAATCTCTCCAAGAGCAGAGGAGTGCAGAGATAAGGTTGCCACCTCGAGTTAGGTGGCAAAAAAAGTTACCCGGGACATATCGTGAAGCAGAATATCTCAGTGGATGAACGGGGCCGCTGACCCTCCTTCAATGTAAGTGCAGAGGGCAGAGGAGTTCGGACGTGGACTTTATCATTGCAGCTGGGAAGGCCCCGTTGGAGCTGAGCCCGACGTTTCGACGCTGACGACCGCAGCTCAAGAAGATGAGATAAGTTCACGTAAATGCATTGTACTGAGTAATCGTGATTCGTTGTTGTTATGATTATTATGACTGCAGCAGTAGCGGCAGAATGTACATACATAACACTGGTCAACAACAAAAAATAATTTCTGGCCTGGACTTTTGCAGCTGTTTTAGACTAATTTCAGGGTGCTGATTCCAAACCTGATCTCAGATTTGCTCTGTCACATCTCATTTTATGCTATCGGCATACCCCATTTTCATTGATTTTACCCGAAATTAACTCTGTCACTTATGATTGCAAGTTGTTGCGAGTCAGTGACTGCTTTAGTGTTAAAACATGCTGCTGTATTTTTAGGATAGTGTGTTTATAATATAATTTTATGTAGATATCCACATTTATTTAATATTTTTCTTCTGCAGTTTTTATTGAAAATGCAATATTTGATATCTCAAAAACCTGATGTGATAGACAAAAACTGATGCCAGATTTGGAATCAGCACCCCGAAATTACCTTAAAACCGTTGGAATACCTTATGCCAGAAAAAAGTGTGTTGACCAGTGTAATCTACATGCATGATGTATATATGTAAATGTACATGCATTATTTATATTGATTAACTGTGAATAACCCACCAATAATATACATGTATTGTAATTTATATGAATACACGAGCAGGAAATATCCGGCGTTGCCCGGGTACTTGCGGATATCTGTTGCGAATGTCGAGTGGTTGCTCAATCGCTGTGTTCAGAAGGAGGGGGATCAGTGGCGTTTTAGCGAAGATTATGATTTTGCTATGCCATGGGGCCTGCGATAAATGTAATATTGCGTGCCCACAACGGGGTATGACATCATACTGCGCGAGATTGTCGGCAAATGTGCTCGTTCATCACGAAGCGTGTAAACTGCAAGTAAGCGGGGTAATTGCAGCAGGCACGGCGGTAGCTGAAAAAACATGTCTCATTGACCAAATCGAGGAGGACACATCTTGTTTTGAAGGGTGAATGACGCCGTGCTGTTTGTCTCTCGCACGCGAAGGTGACGGACGTGGTCACGGAAGTTGACCGTCAATTGGAATCACCAACGATGGTTTATCGGAATGATGCGATCAACGGAAATTGTTAGATTCACTTCATGCGGAGGGGGGTCGTCACGTGATGACCCCCCTCCAACCCCCCTCACACTCCACCCCCCCTCTAGCCCCCCCCCCCCCTCACCCTCGCTGGCCACACACCTATCCACCCACCCCTCGTGAACCGTGCCGACCTTCACAGGTGCTGCTCGCCAACAACAGCACTTACCCCCGACCGCCTGTCAAGGCTACACGGCGCGGGCAGTCCTTTGTCTTTGTGTGCTCCCTGCTCATCTAGCGGGCCGTGGTGCCACGCAGTCCCCGTGCTACCCTCCCCTTCCCTCCCACGGGGGTGATTCCCCCGTGGTGTGGATGCAGGCCTCTGACCCCGCAGTAGGACTCCTCGTTGAAGATCTGCGGCGGGAGCGGGTAGCCAGCGACGGGCCTCCTCGCGCCCGGCACGTTCTCCCTCATCCACTGGCGGTTGATGTCGTTCATGGCGATGTCGAGCTCCTCGTAGGCGATGCGGTTCGACTCGAGGAAGCCGACCACGTCCTGCTGTTTCTTCTTGATCTGACGGCGACGATAAGGGGTGGGGGGGGGGTGTGTAAGGGGTCATATTCTTAGGTTTTTTCGGTAAAGTCACGTAGGTAAAACATCAAAATTAATGAAAATAAAATAAAAATCACGACGTTTCGGAGGCAACACAAGTCTCCGTCATCAGGTGGGACCGTCACAGCCGGATGAGCTGCATCAAGTGAGGCAATGATTCCAGATGTAATCCCTTAAAAGCGAGTTGAGGGGGGAGGAGAGGTGTGTAAGGGGTCGTACGTAAATGACTTCACGCGATTTTGGACGATTTTTTACCACCCCCCTCTTCGTCGCACGGCGTCACAAAAAGTCAGACCCCACCCCCTCATGACGTCACAAAGCTCTGCCCCCCCCCAAACCATATTTACATTTTGAATATAAAACATGCTTCAAATCGCTTTAAACTATTGTCATTGCAGTGCGTATTTAATGTGGCGCTGCACTCTGATGTTGTACGAGAAAACATTTATTAAAAAGTCTATTTAATTAAGTAGAACGTGTTGTCTATATTTGGAAGTTGCGCATTTAGATGTGACGTCACATTTCTCAACCCCCCCCCCCCCCTCGTCACACATCATCACAAATGTATGACCCCCTCCCTCCCCTTGGTGTGTGACGTCATTTATGGACGGCCCCTAAGACACGGCCGAACGTGCGTGCACCTCCAACGTCGTGTCGACGTTTGGGGCCAAACGTTCCATGTTTTTTGTGTGTCACCCAGCCTCGTGAAGGAGAGAGTCGTGATGGCGAACCGGCGCTGGGCTCTTCCAGGACGGGTGGCTTCCCCTCCGGTTATTTGTCGAGCCAAGCCAGGAGCAGACTGTGACGCCACGGTGGCTAGGAGATGTTAACTACCTCGCCTGGTCTACAGGAGGTCGTGGGTTCTATTCCAACCCGGACGCCTGCTGCTGTATATTTGGAGTTTGCGTGTCTTCTCTCTCTCTGTCATCATCATCACGGTGGCTAGGAGATGTTAACTACCTCGCCTAGTATACATGAGGTCGTGGGTTCTATTCTAACCCTGACGTCTGCTGTATATTTGGAGTTTGCGTGTCTCTCTCTCTGTCATCATCATCACGGTGGCTATGAGATGTTAACTACCTCGCTAGGTATACAGGCGGTCGTGGGTTCGATTCCAACCCTGACGTCTGCTGTATATTTGGAGTTTGCGTGTCTCTCTCTCTGTCATCATCATCACGGTGGCTAGGATATGTTAACTACCTCGCCTGGTATACAGGAGGTCGTGGGTTCTATTCCAACCCTGACGTCTGCTGTATATTTGGAGTTTGCGTCTCTCTCTCTCTCTGTCATCATAATCACGGTGGCTAGGATATGTTAACTACCTCGCCTGGTCTACAGGAGGTCGTGGGTTCTATCCCGACCCGGACGCCTGCTACTGTATATTTGGAGTTTGCGTGTCTCTCTCTCTGTCATCATCATCACGGTCGGCTAGGAGATGTTAACTACCTCGCCTGGTATACACGAGGTCGTGGGTTCTATCCCGACCCGGACGCCTGCTGCTGTATATTTGGAGTGTGCGTGTGTCTGTCCCCGTGGTCGCGTGGATTTTTATCCGGGTCCTCCGGTTTTTCCCTCCACATTTAGAAAGAAAACGTCTTTGGCTGCTACTATAAATGTACACTTGATAAGCCACTTCGTTGAGCGATCGTTTGTGACCAGGTCGCTTCTGAACAAGAGCTATTACATAGCCCAGTGAGGCCTTACATGGAAAAATATGTTGTCGTGTTCATAAAGAGTGCCCTTCAAGGATGGCTCCTGTTGTCACGTTCTGACCCGCCCCAACTGGACATCGGTGAAAAAGAGCTTCATAGATCATCTGATTCCTCCAGTATAAATACATATTCAGATTCTGAAAACATCGCTGCGAATGCGACCTTAAACTCTTTAGACCAAACGCGGACAGATTAATTTCTCAGTCTATTGCCAACAATGTGCAGTCCACTATGAAAAAGTTCAACGCAATACTGGCAGCAGACCTCGACACAAATCAATTCCTGCCACCCCTAAACAGATACGGGGACATAGAGGCAGGTGCCCGGACTGTAGCTGTCATTGGGACACAATTGCTTGCATAAACACATTTGGCTTCTTAGCAAAACGTGGACAGCTAATGGCTCTAACAAACAATATTTGCTGGCATTCCATTGGCAGTGCACAACACAACACAGAGCTCCACACACTCTTCAGTAGGAACACTGTGGTCTTAAAAAGAAAAAAATACATCAGGTAACGTTTTGGGCAATGACCCGTTTTCAGGCCAGGAAGATAGAGTGGATGAGAGTTGGAGTTATTGGTGTGTTCATCTGTACGGGTGTGTGAGCGATAGCGCAGTCGTGAGCACACTGCGCTACAAACCCACCTACCCGAGTTCGATTCCCGCTCACGGCCAACACCGGTGACCGGTTATGGGCCTCCCCTAGGTCGACTCAGCCTCAAATAAGTACCTGGCGCGGTGTGTAAACATCGCCACTGGGGAGACAAAGGCGGCCGGACGTGGTCCTAACCACCCCTTGTGTGCCATGCCGGCCTTCATAGGCGCTCTCTGAGATCACTTGCCCCGACAGTCTGTGAAAGGCTATACGGGGGATCTTTGTCTTTGTGCCAACTGTCTGCATGCTGTGTGCCCAAGTGTGGAAGTGGCGATGTGAGCGAGTGTGTGTCCAGCAAGGAGGAGGAGGAGGCTCGTGAATGACACTGCTGGGCAGCTGGGCTCTGAGCCTGTACTCCCCAAACACATCAGCAGCCACAGGAATGAGCACAGCACTGGGTCGCACAAAGACAGAGATCACCCGTGTAGCCTTTCACAGGCTGTTGGGGAAAGTGCCTGTTCGCGAGCGATCTACGAAGAATCGGACCGGCACGGCACACGGGGGGGGGGGGGGGGTGGCTAGTACTGTACTACGACCCGGCCGCCTTTGTCTCCCTAGTAGCGTTGGTTGCACAGCACTGGGACACACACACACACCACACTTGCGCCAATAGGCGGAACGGTGGGAGGCAATTCGATATCGGTGTGACCTTGTTTAAAAGGTATTCACATTTTTTTAGGCGACAGTGGAGCGCAGTGGTAATGCCCGTGACCTTACAGCAAGAAGGGCCTGGGTTTAATTCCCAACTCGTGTGTGGATGTTTATTTTGTACCCTGCTCTGAATGTAGGTTCCTCCATTTCCCTCCAGGTTCTACAATGTATCCTCATCGCTACAAAAAAACACACACACACACCGCGTAAGGGGCCGTCCATAAATGACGTCACGCACCTAGGGGGGGGGGGTCAGACATTTGTGACGATGTGTGACGAGGGGGGGGGGTTGATAAATGTGACGTCACATCAAAATGCGCAACTTTAAATAAATATAGACAACACGTTCTACTTAATTAAATAGACGTTTTAATAAATCTTTTCTCCTACAACATCAGAGTGCAGCGCCACATTAAATACGCACTACAATGACAATAGTTAAAGCGATTTGAAGCATGTTTTATTTTTTTTGGGAGGGGGGGGGGGCAGAGCTTTGTGACGTCATATTTGAGGGGGGGGGTCTGACTTTTTGTGACGCCGTGTGAGGATGGGGGGGGTCAAAAATCGTCCAAAATCGCGTGACGTCATTTTTGGACGGCCCCTAATGTCACCGGAATTGGCCCAACATCCCAATGCTGACAAGCGACATGGAAATGACTCAATTGGGATCAAACAAAGTTCCCCCGTGTAGCCTTAACAGACTGTGAGGGCAAGTGCTGTTAGCGAGAACCTACGAAGGCCGGCAACGGCACACGAGGGGGGTGGGTGGCCAGCACCACGCCCGGCCGCCTTTGTCTCCCCTAGTGATTGATTTGAGGCTGAGTAGACCTATGGGGAGGCCCAGGTCTGGTTCAGATTATCGTCGTTGGTGTTGGTGGCCGTGAGCGAGAATCGAACTTGCAGCAGCAGCAGCAGCAGTATCGCCGCCTAAGGCAAAAAAACATTGGCAGGACCTGAAATAAGTAATATTTAAAAAAAACTTTTTTTTTAAACACGCTTTAATAAAGTAATGGCACAACTCCACGACTCAAAGAAGTGGCCCGCAAAGCTTGCCATAACATCAGGGGCCGTGGTGATTTACAGCCAACGTCAGTTGAGCGTGGACAATTAGACCCAAGCCGAAACATAACATATAAAAAATCATGTTTAAAAATAAAATTTTTGTATTTAATGATAGAATATAGTATTGTCATCAGTATGACATAAGTATACCAAGTTTGCAGTCCGATACCACATTGGGAAGTGGGTTAAAATAGAGTTACAAGATTTGAGTTAATAGAAAGCGTGTAAAATATTCGAGACTCGGTGAGGCTTTCTCGGGTAAGCAAGCGTCACAATAATAATTATTAGTAAATTCGTTTATCCGATAATGTGAATACTTTTAAGTCTACTCTTAAAACGCACTCTTCTTAAGTCTGTTTAATACGTAGAGTTTCGCGACCAATATTATTAATAATAGGGTTTTTGGGTTCGTTCGTGCAAGTGTAAATCTGTGATAAACCCTCCACCACCCGACACAGCCAGTGAGGTTTGTCACGTAACAAAACGTGGCAACGTACTCATCGGATTCCTCCAGTATGAATAAACATTCGGATTCTGATAACAATTTAAAAAGGGGGGGGGGAGTATGAGGGATGCTCAGCCTTCTCCGGCCTTTGTTGGAGGTTTCCTGACAGAAAGTTTCCCGCACCTCCGATTCGCACGGCTGGCTACGTACGGCGCGAAATAAATTCGACATACACGTACCCACATACAGATGTGGCAGGTGGTGGCCACAGAGCAGTCGATTAGAATTGTCAGTGGATCACCGTGGAGGCAGCAGCGAGAGTTGGCGGATCATCCGCACGGACGTCGTGAAACTCTTTACTCCTCTAGAATCTTTCGGTAAAGTCACGTAGGTAGAAAAATAAAGGGAAACAAAAAATAACATTTTGATTTAAA